ATACTCAGCCTGTGTGTTGGTGTGTATGCATGGCAGTGCACACAAGTGTGTTACACACAAACACACACAGACACAAGCAGTCCTAGCTTCAGCCTTGTCTTATGGGAGAGAATATCTGAAGATGACACTGGTTCTCCATCCCATCTACTCTCCACGGCTCCAAACTTTTCCTATTTTATGCAGTTAGTAGAGTTTAACACCTTTGGTGCAGTTGGGTTCCTAAACTTTAGTTAACCTTTGTCTTCACCAAATTTTTTCTCATAGTACTTTTGTTTGTAATTTCATTATACTCCACTAACTTGATCATACATTGATTAAACTATCTGCTTGAATTTTCATTTTAAATATCATTATAGCAAATGAGAAGTGTCCTGTGGCTCATGAAGACCACCTTGAAGGGTCATCCCTGCACAATATCATGCAAACAAACTTTTTATGACACTACTGAGTCTTTCTTACAGACAAGTAATCATGCATACTGTGGATGAATATGTTAAACACTAAAGTTTTGTACTTATTGCTCTTCTTATTTTTCCTTAGCCTTCAGAAAAGTCTTCTGTACTAGGAATAAAAATATATTATTATTATTATAGACATTGAACACAGGGGTGCTTAACCACTGAGCCACATCCCCAAGCTTTTTATTTAAATTTTGAGACAGGGTCTTGCTAAGTTACTTACAGCCTCCCAAAGTTACTGAGGTTAGTCTAAAACTTGCAATCCTCCTGCCTCAGTCTCCAAGTAGCTGGAATTACAGGCATGTGCCACTTTCCTAGGCTACACATAAAAATGTTTTAAAAGAATGGATGAGATTATGACTTTACACTCAAAAAAGCTCAAAAACTACTAACAAACAAATTGTGGTAACACATGTACAAATACTCATACACACACTACACACGTGTAGGATTTATTCCAGGAATATAAGATTTGTTCAGCATTTGACAATCAATCAATATAATTATATCAAATTAATAGAATAAAAGACCCCTTTAAATTAAATGCTTAAAAAACTAGGAATGGAAGGGAACTTCCTCAGTATGATAAAGAACATCTATAAAAAACACAGCAAATGCCACAGTTAATGGTGAAAGATTGAAAGCTTTACTCCAAAACAAGAAACAATTAAAAAAAAAAAAAGAGAGAGAGATGTCTTACATTACCACTACTAGTCGATTGTATATTGAARGGTATGCATATGCACAAGAGTTAAGCAAAAAAGAAAAGGCATCCAGCATAGAAAGGAAAAAGTACAAGTATCTTTATTTGCAGATAATATATTTTTGTATATAGAAAGTCCTAAGGAATCCTCCCACTCCCAACCCCACCCCCCCAAAATCTACTAGATCTAATAAATACATTCAGCAAAGCTACAGGATTTTTAAGATAAATACTTAGAAATTGAATCTCTATAGATATGAAATGATCCAAAAATAAAACTTAAGAAAACAATTCCACTTACAATAGCATAAAAAGAATAGACCAACTGATATGACAAGAAAACTATGGGTCAATGTCCCTTATTGAATGTCTTTACAGAAATCTTCAACAAAACACTAGCAAACTGATTCCAACAACACATTAAGAGAATTGTGCACCATGACTAAACAACTATTTTCCAGAAATGAAGGGTGTTCAACATAAGAAAAGTGATCAATGTAATAATTAATTCATAGAGAAAAGGCAGGAAATGACATCATCTTCTCCATAGATGCAAATAAAACCCTGAGAAAAAAATTCAACACCATTTCAGGATAAAAAGACTCCAGAATCTAGTAATAAAAGAAAACTTCCTTTGCATAACAGAGTAAGTTATTAAAACCTACAGCTAACATCATATTCAAAGGTAGGAAACTGAAATGCTTCTCCCTAAGGAAACAACAGTGAAGGCCACTTTTGCCAATGCTGTTCAGCTTTGTACTGGAAGCCCTGGATACAGCAATTAGGCAAGGAAAAAAAAATGACAGGCATACAAATTGGAAATGAAGAAGTAAAACTATCTTTTTTGGCAGATGCTATGATTCCACATAGGAAATTCTAGAGTCAAAGCACAAAGAAAACCACTAGCTAGAACTAATAAATTGATTCATTAAAGTTGCAGGATAAAATAACAACACACAAAATCATGTGATTCTCTATACCAAAAGTAAATTAAGAAAACTATTCCATTTATAATAGTATCTATGAATAAATTTAATCAAATAGGTGAATGCCTTATAAATTGAAAACTAGAAACACTRCAGCAAGTAATTCAAGTAGACATCCTGTGTTTATAAACTAGAAAACTTAATATTGATAAGATGGCAATATTCCCCAAAGCAATCTACAGATCCAGCACAACACTTATCAATAATCACTTATCCAATAATCATTTCTTCAGAAATGGAAAGTCAGTCCACAAATTATTATCAAACTTCAAAGGGTCTCAATAGACAAAATAGTCATGAAAAAGAACAAAGCTGGAGAACTCACACTTCCTGGTTTCTAAATTGACAACAGAACTACAGTAATAAAAACAGAATGGTACTGGCATATTACAGGCAAAAAGACCAATGAAAACAGAACTAAAGTCCAGAAGTGGACCTAAATATCTATGGAAAGTTTATTTTCAGAAATGGTGCTAAGATCACTCAATGGGAAAGAATAGTCTCTTCAAGAAATGTTGCTGGTAAAACCGGGAACCAGATGCAAAAGAATTAATTTGAACCCCTACCTTATTTCATATATAAAAATTAAATAAAAAATGAATCAATGGCTTAAATTTAAGAACAAAATCCCACAAATTCCATAGGAAAAAAACTCAGGTAAATTCTCATGACTTCAAATTTGGCAACTGATTCTTAGATTTAACACACAAAACAAAAGAAACAAAAGAAAAAAATACATAAGCTAAAATGCTCCAATTAAAAACTACTGTCTCAGAAAATGCCATGGTTGGGTGTGCTCTGAGTCTCTCCCAAAGGGTCACTGTTAATTATAAGCATCSTTCCCAGGGTTGTACTGTTGTTAAAATGGTTAACTTAGCAATATGAATTTTACCTCAATTTAAAAATGAATAAAATACTTAGTAACAAATGTAATAAAAAAGTGAAAGACTTGTAGACTGAAAACTACAAATATCATCAGAAGAAAGTTAAAGAAGGCCTAAACAGAGGAAAATCATGGGATAGAAAACTTAACATTGTGAAAAATGCCAATATTCCCCAAATTGGTCTACAAATTTGGTGCAATCTCTATCAAAATCCCAGCTAGCTTTATGGTGGAAATTGAAAAGTTAATTCTAAAATGAATATGAAAATGCAGGAGACCCAGAAGAGTAAAAACTAATCTTGAAAAATAATTAAAGTGCTAGAGGACTCTCACTTTCCAATTCTGAAATTTACTAATAAAGCTATGGTCATCAAGGTAGTAGGGTATTAGTGATATAAGAATAGACATACAGACCAATGGAATAAAACTGAAGAGTCCAGAAAAGAACTCATACACTTTTTTTTTAGAGAGAGAGAGAAATTTTCTTTTTATTATTTATTTTTTAGTTTTYGGTGAACACARCATCTTYATTTTATTTGTATGTGGTGCTGAGGATTGAACCCAGTGCCCCGTGCATGCCAAGCTAGCGTGTTACCGTTTGAGCCACATCCCCAGCCCCTGAACTCATACACTTATGATCAACTTTCTCTTACTGAAATAAGGGAAAAAACTAATGGGAAAAAAGTAATCTTTGGTGACCTTGGAATACCTCTCTCAGAGACACCCCAATCTTATGAATTACAGGAGAACGCTGAACACTTATTTCTTAACATGCTTCAAAGAACGTTTCTAGACTCACTAGAGGAAGATGCAAGGAATGCAGTCTCCTATCTTCACACACACCAACTGATGGACATCTAATCTCAGCTTCAGGATGAAGTGACAAATATCGGACTTCATCTTAAAGAATGCTAGTGAGCTTTAGCCCTTTTTATAGAAATATAGGGAAAAGACTCTAAATCTGTATGTCAAAATCAGAATTTGAGATGTTACATATTTCATAAAAACCTTTCTAGACCAAATGGGTATCTGTGAATAGTTGAAAATTTTTGTTTTGCTTTATTTGACTCAATTTGGGTTTTTAATTATTTAATTTCTGGTCACCAAATTTAAGAATTTAGTGGGCAATTCTAATACTTTTCTACACTTAAGGGAAAAAAGATTAATAGCAAAGTTCCAGAATCATTCAAATTAAAAAATAAACAGTTGCTCCACTCCAGATGGCATGTTCCTTACTCTACATTTCTTCCTGTATATTATGTACTGAAAGAAATAATATTTCTCCTTGGTCACCTGTTTTTAACATGCCAAGTTTACATAGCCACTACATCTAAATTTTTTGGAGGGAAGGAAGGTGCTGGGAATCAAATCCAGGGCTCCTTGCATGATCTGTGCTGCTGAGCTACATCCCTAGCCTTCACTCATTTTTAAATGTAAAAACAAAGAAGCTTGATAAAGAAAATCTCTAAATATTTCTATAATGGAGTAAAAATATCTATTAAGAGTCTTTACTTAAATGCTTAGCTAACCATTAAGTCAGTTTGTTAAAAGAAGTCTGGCAAGTGTGGAAACTCATTAAGTTAATTGTCAATTCTCAGATTTCTGCATTTCTATATTTAATGCCAAAGTTAAGTGTATTTAATAATCTTATGACTCAAAAATTAATTGTTATAAGATAAATTATGTACATGTAAATAGCCAGTTTTAAATGTTAATCCTCAGCAATGGTATTCGTTTAATGAGATAAAAACTCCTAACTTCTTTTAATGGTTGTCTAATACATCTTTACAAAAAGTCCTTTTTCACTATGGGAAGCATGTCCACAGTTCAGATCCTTGGTGGTTGAAAAAAATCTTGCTCAGCATTTTTATCATATACTTTGCATTGAAATGTGATTTACATGCACAAAAATTAAAATGTGGATAGYCACTCATACAGAGATAACTTCAAAGAAAACCCAGTCTGCTCACCTTGGGGCGCTATCAAAGTTCTTCCATTCTCCTGACACCAACCAACTGGCTGGACATAAGGACTATTAACATCACACCTGCAAAAACAGGATCCTGTGTTAGATCCCATATTACYCAATCCCAGAGAAAGAATCCAAGAATAATTGCTATTCTAGATATTAAGAGATATCACAGAAAATAGTAATTCATAGCTAAAGAGAAAGAGAAGTAATTTTTAGTACCATATTTGTAGGCTGAGTGACTAAACTTCTCTTTTGCATAACCTTCTTGAAACTTCATAGCATAAATAAAGGGGGAAAGACCTGAAATGTTATTAGTGATATCCTCAGAGAGCAAAGACTGTACCTTTTCTACCAGTTTTATTTMCAGTAATGGAAAATATTAATAGGACAGTCTAAATGGTAATAGGACAGTCTAGATTCCAGATAACTACATTTTTCCTCTTCCTCCTTTCAAAGAATCCAGAACATTCCACCAAAGACACATACAACAATTACTCTATGCTTTACTTCTTGGTTCAAAAGGAAAAACAAGACTCCCTTCATGCAAATTAAGAACAATGGCCCCTTGTAGGGACTTGTCCATTACTCAGGAAACACTATGAGGAAATGCTACAAAAAAAGTATTTTCACTGTGACCACCTCTGTAATTCAGGTTTTTATCCAGAAAACCCTTTTAACTCATGCAATGTTAGTTTAATGGCTTCATAGCACACATTTTCTCTGTTCCTCACAGGCTTAAATAATCCACTCCTGTGCTCCCTGAATCTTTCTTTTAAAAATGTGATGGGTTGAATGTAACATCTTTCAGAAAAACACACACACACACACACAAAAAGAAAAGAAAACACTACAAGTTCTTAAATTGCTCTTCACAAAATTGTTTCCCTTGCAAACTAGACAAACATACAGGGAAGTTCCCTTAACTGCTTGGTAAGGCCTCATTAGATAACTTCTTATAGATGTGGAAATAGTTTCTTAGGTTCCTTATTTCAACAAAATTCACATCAGAGAAGGCTGTGAAAAGTCACCACTGAATTTCCTGATGTTTATTACTACAAGAACAGCAAGTAAAGTGATAGGACTGGAATAAAAATAAATTCTTAACCAAATATAAGAACATGCTGGGGAAAAGAGAAAAAAACAAACAATGGTGTCTCACCAGTAATCGTAGCTGTCATCCCAGTTGTCAAAATGTACTCGTAAGCGGTCATCCACAATATCTGCTATGGTAGCCACGCACACCAAGGAAGGGTTCTTCCTGTCCACGGCCTCCAGCTTCATTCCCACCTGAAACTCCTTAGGCACTGGTCCATTCTAACACAGCACCAGCAGGGGAAGAGGCATGAAAAGAAGCAAGGACACCAAGCAGGACTGAGCCATGGTGAAACTTCTACAATGTTTAACATCAGCAAAGCCTAGAGGGCATCAACACTCACCCTCTGGAAAGAAAACAGCAAATGCCAGGAATCACCCAGCAACTGTCATGCAGCTCACATTCCTAATCAAGACCACGGAAACTAGCTCCTTTGGGCTCTTCTCTTTGGAAGAGCAGAGAGTTTTTCCTTCCCTTATCAACTTCATTTTCCCCTCTTCAGTTCTTAGTGTAATTTGTATCCATTTAAAGATACACTGTTTGCTGAATACAGTCCTATCAAATGAGGTTTTCTGCTCACCATAGGCTTTTGAATAGTATTCAAATATTGCTATTTGAAAAAKCGATAAAGACATCCTTTTTAGCATCAAGATATCATTAAATTGATTACTCTTAACTGAAAGTAGTGGCTTTCTCAATAGTTAAGTATATATACACTAACCCACATATAAAAAATACAATTAAAAGTATGAATGCTTTTTTTAAGTACCTGTATATATATAATATATGTTTGTTCATATAAAAGTGCTATAGATTATGATTTATAATAAAATAACTGTTATAAAACCCCAGTCTTTGAATCRTGACAATTAGCTAGTTCTGAGATTTGGGAGTATTTACCCAATATCTGGGGACAAAATGAGGGTTTCTTCTCTACTTCTATACTATTTAAACCCCAATTTTTATTTTTCTTTAGCCCATTCTACTTTTAAAGAAATTTCACATTTCAATAATGCCCTTTCCTTTACACAATTATATGAAACACMTACAACAAACATGTAACATTAATTCTAAGATCAAAAAGAAAATCTCAGAAAGTCAAGAAGGAGACCTGCAAAGTGACATCATCTGCAGGTGACTCAGGCTTATGTACCGCCCTGGCAGAGGGAGTGTTCTTTCCTCAGATGCTCACAGTACCATGAGTCTGCATGAGATGGTCCCTTGTTTTATTCACACTTAACTAAGCTGGGTACATCCAAAGTCTGCCTGAAGTACCTACTGGTTTCAAAATACCAAAACTAACTTTAAAAAGATTAACTCATTGTAAGTAAAAAGGAAAAAAAATTATGAAAGGCATTTTACTTTTAGCCGTTGTTAAATACTTTACACAGCTAACTGAAGTCTTTAATTGTACTTTTAAAAGAGAAAATAAAACAGATGCCCRTAGAAAAAGGGAGACAAATTAAGGAAGAAAAGTTTCAGGAAGTTGAGTTTCCATACTTTCTTAAAGGATTAAAATATAACAGAATATGGAGCAAATTTTAATAAATGTAAGCTCAAGGGAAATTCTAACTTAAGCTGAGGAAGTAAATACTTACAGAACTTCTGTTCCTGAATAATTTCTTAGGAGCATTTTGCAATTTGCAGGCCTTCAAGTAATCCATCCAAACAAATTTATCTTTTCTATAACCTAGATAAAAAGTACAATTTGCTCAAAAATATCCACAAGAGGTAACCACAAGTATTCTAAATACATTATTACCATTCAGTCTTCTGCTATTAGCAGATGCTATTAGCAGATCACAATGGTTTACATTTAAATTTCCAAATTGTCTCAATGTTTTTAATGTCTTAAATTCAAAACAGTTGATTGTGGTCTCCCATTGTGCACACCATTCCCTACAAATGTTTAGTGTTCACTAAGCTATTTCACTGGGACCCTGGGAGCTTGACGGGAATCTCACCTCCCATTAAAGTTTCCAGAATAGGTAAAAAGATAAGACAAGAGTACCAGTGTTGTCCCCATCCCTGAGGAAGCCATGTCACAAAGACCATAAGAGATCCCAATGATGCTGTGATCCAAGAAGCGGACACTTGAGGGAAATTACAAAACCCTTCACAATCCAAAGACCATTTTTGACAATTCTAACTTTCTGTACCTTATCTGTACAATGTTCCCACTAGAAATGCCTTGTCTTCCATTCATATGCCCTAAGTCGGCTCAAACAGCACTGCACAAACAATGCSGGCTCAATATTTTCCAAGGGACCATCATACTGAAAATACAAATTGAACTCCTAAACAGTCTTCAAGGCTAAGGCGTCTCTACCTCCTACCTTTTTGACTTGCTTCTCCACTTGTCTCCCTGAGACTCCTCATCCTAACCAAGTCTACTCTACCCCCAGGCATCTGCTCTGTTCTTTCCCTGCTTGATGCTCTCCCTCAGGAACCCAGTTGCTTTCTCTCCCATTTTGTCCAGGCRTCTATGGGACCCCCAAGACAGGCTTGTCTTCACCACACTATCTAAAAGAGCCTTCTTATGGCTGGTCTCAATCCTTCCCCTCCTCTGAAATAAAAATCCACGGAGACAGAGGTTTTTACTCAYTGTTCCAGCCCCAGTATGTGCATATAGTAAGAACTCCATGAAATCTATGGGATGAATGAGCCTGTTACCTGTCACCAGTTCTTAAAACTCAGCAATCGGACTTTTCATAGGTCCCAAGGCAGAGCCCAAAGGACACTCTCGAGTTGGTTACCAACAATAAAACTTATATATATATATATATATATATATACACACATATATATATCCCAGAAGTTGCCATAGTCCTTTCATAGTCTAACATGCAAGCAGGAGACTGTATGCCGAAGTTGGCCATGCAAAGAAACTGGCCCATGGGCTTCTCACTGACCGCACCTCTACTCACTGGCACAAACAACTGGCTAGGGTTCCTCTGTAGGTAACAAAAGACAAAGCTGAGATTTTACCATCACAAGAAAACTTGACCTGAACTTTTTTTCATTGCTCCATGTTTTCCATGATTTGGGGGTTTGCAACAATTGACAATGATTCAAATTTCTTCACCCTGCAATGCCATTAATATAGTGGGAAGTTTCATTTCAACCATGATTTAGACATTAGTTGCTCAACGTTTAATAAACTTATGTACCATCAGATACTCCCATAATATTTTATTTCTACCCCATGTACCTTATCAGAATAATTGACCTAAAAGTCATGAACAATTTTCTTTCAAAGATACTTCTTTTTAAAGAGGGTGTAACTGAGGTCTAAGTGCTCTTTGGGGATCAAATTTTCATACCAGATTCTCTTGATAGTATTTCATAAAATGTTGTTAAAAATAAAACTGAAATATCAAGTGACTCTCTCAAAAGCAAATGCATCCTGGCTTACCCTTAGGGATGTGCAATTCATGCTTGGTCTTTTCACACCACCCTACTGGATGAATGTCGGGGGAACCAGCATTGGTCCAGAAATCATAGCAGCTTAAATATCCATCAAAATGAAGTCTTAGCCGGTAACCACACACCTGCAGCAAGGAAAGTTTGCAATTGTTCATTAAGTGTCATACATTTAAAATGGACACAAAATTATCAAAGTATTCAAATACTTTGTGAATGCTAACAACATTTAAGAGCTGATGCTTCCAGTCAAATTTTTTCATTAGAGAACAAATTTATACATGACATCTGATTAAAACTGTGATATAAAGTAGATATTGTCCTTCAAGAACCTATAGCCTTCTGCAAAATACAGCCTTTTTTTACTTGCCTATGTACATATATGAATATATATGTGAGTGTCACCATTGTATACATTCACAAGAAATTAATTAAAAATAATAACTATGGGTAAATGGCAGAAAGATAAGTAGAGGGAAGGGAACAGGGTGCAGGGGTAGAGGAGGGGAAGGAAAGGTACTAGCACTGAATTAGAACAAGATATATTCCATGCTTTATAATTACATCAAAATGGATTCTACTGTCATGTATAACTAAAAAGAATGAATAAATTAAAAACAATAGTCTAGATGGAAAAAAGGATCCACAATTTAARTATTTTAATTGAGCAGTTTATTTATTAATGCAACACCTGTCCAAAATTCCTTTCAGAATCCCTATCTCCCGCTGTTGGCTTGGATTCATATCCCAAGACAGTGTAGACTGCAGTACAGAGCAAAACAAAATGGGGACGGCCTTAGCTCTACTATATGCATACAGCATACTCAGTAAAGAGAACATTAAAACAGATAGAGCCTCTAAACATGCTGTGCAAGTTTAATAGCTACAATCAATCAAGTGGAGCAAATGAATGTGACTTCTTCATTGAATGCTATTAGAAATAGAGACATCTCTTATTGATTTGATAATATGTGTAGTAAATATTACACTTTACAAGCCATTTACTTTCATCACTGGCTCTTCACTTTACATAATTTTCATAAAATACATGTATTTGTATAAATATGTAACAGGAATAATATTATTCATATACATTTCTCATTAGTTCAAATAAAATGTGAATAATTATATTTCTGTTAATAAAAAAATGTGTGATGATTCATGAATTGTTATCAATCTTAGGTGAAAACCACTAATCAATTAAGTCAAGAATGAATGCTAGCTGATGAAACTTACTAGAAACTTAATCTTCACAGAAGGAAAAAGATGCATTAAGAAACATTTTCACCCAYCAAAGACTAAAATAAATCCACAATGTTCTGGAACTTGTTTATGATCAAAAGTATACAAATTTGTTATTCTCTAGAAAATTCTGTTACCATGTGCTTAGCCCAAAAAAATAACCATATCTCTCACCTCAGCTACAGACAGCACACAGAATACAGATGGATGTCGGGGATCAATGCCTTCTAATCTCATGCCAACCTGAAAACCATTTTCGTGCTCCGGAAAGGATTGATCCTACRGAATTTCATGATACAACATTAGCCATTGATACTTCTTCATAACTTTATATAAAATATTTGGTGTCATTTACATGTGGACTCTAAAACAATGGAACCCAAAGAAACGAGACAGTAGGAAGGTGTATACCAGAGACTAGGGTAAGGGGATGAAGGAAGCACTGTTCAAAGGGTACCAAGTTGTAGTTAAACAGGAGGAATAAATGATATGAACTTAAGGTGACAGATATGCTAGCTATCTTGATTCAATCATTCCACACTATGGAATAGATCATATCATACTGTGTTCTCCATARTTGTATAAAGTTATAATTTGTGTAAAAAATAGAATTTTTAAAAGCTTTATAGTTGGAAGCCCAGTAATATGGAAGGCTGCTCTTACATGTAATTGGCTCTCAAAGATGATTTGGTCATTTTAATATACTTTGAAAGAGTTTAATTGTGAAGCTCTGTGTTCTGTGAACCTCTCACTTATTTGTGTTGCCTGTTCTTCCTTCTGTCCTTGGTTGGTTACATGGATTACCCACCTCCAATGTGTGCCTTGGCTCTTCACTGGTACAGTGACTTGGCTGTAAAGACTTTAATTTCAATACAGTCAAATATATTTCCTGTTAAGTTTACACATGCAATCTATGCAGTCCTTCCTGATTCAGGCTACCCAGTAGTAGTTTTCAAAACAAAATRTTGAAGTGTCATCCTTAGTATTTAAATCTATAGTAAAACTGAAATTGCTTTCTCTATGGTGTGAGGTAGGGGCCTGTTTTTTTTCATGAGAAAAATACACTATTCAACAAGTGGTTTATGACTCATCCATACTTGACGTGATCTGCAAAGTCTACTCTGATACCCAGTTTCTATATATTTGTGGATCTATTCTGGCCCCTCTATACTGTTTCATTGACTTATTTGTCCATTTTACACAGTCTTATTTGCTAATGTGAAGCCTTTCTATTTGAATCAATCTTTATATATTGAGTTTTCTATCTTAGAAATTTGTTCTCTCTCCATGTTATCTAATCATTTTTTTGTCAAGGATTTTCTTCAAATTTTCAACAGAATTCAAAAATGCTTTGTTATATTTATTTCTGGGTAAACTTTTAATGTTTATTGCTATTGTCAATGAATTCTTTTTATATTACTTTCTAATTTTCTCCCATTGTTTTCTTTAATACTTCCATTTAAAACACAATGAATATGGTATTCTTTCCGACAACCTTCCTGAATTATCAC